CTGGGTCTACCCTGTGGGGAGGTGAAAGGGTACTGCACTGGAGCTGAGGCGGATGGTTAGAAGCACCTCAGGAGCTGACTGGGTCTGCCCTGTGGAAAGGTGAAAGGGTACTGCACCCTGGGCTGGGCTGGAGAGAGGTCGGGGTGGTCTCTCGGAAGGTAAGCTGTTTTAAGGGCTTTGGCCATATTAGAGGACCACCACAATAATTCAGCAATTCTTACTAAGGTCAGAACCTATCATTAAATAGGGAACCAAACATAGGTTAGAGGATTAGGCAAGACAGATCCAGAAGAAATAATTTTGGCTGTTTAAAAACATTAGGGCCAGCAAAATAGCTCAGCAGATTAAAGTGCAAGCAGGCGCAGGGGCTGGGCATTTTGAGTTGCAACTGAGATGGGGCGTGGTGGCATGCGCCTGTAATTCCAGCTCTTAGAGGCTGTAAATAGGCGGATCACTATGAGTCTGATCTAGTAGTGAGACCCTGAACACCCTGTATCCCTTCTCTAAAATATAAGTAAATTAAAAAAAAAAAAAAAAAAACCCGGGGCGGGAGAGATGGATCAGTAGAATAAGCACTTCCCTGGCAAGCACAAGGGTCTGAGTTCAATCTCTGGTTCTGCCAAAGAAACCCCCCAAAAACCCCACCAACATTATTGCCAGGCATGACGACAGACACCCACAATCCCAGGCTGAAGCAAGAGGATCTCAAGTCTAATCCAGCCTGGGCAGCTTGGTGATTTAGCCAGACCCTGTCTAAAATGCAAAAATGAAAAAGGGCTGGAGATGAGGCTTAGTGTGAAGATCCCGGGTTCAATCTGTTGTGCTATAACACACAAAACCAGAACAAAACAAAACATTAAAGGGGCTGAGGGTGTACCTCAGTAGTAGTGAGCATGGCTAGTATAAATAATAAAAAAGCAATATACACAATTAATATAACTAAAAAAAGTGCTTATTTTACTATTTTTAGTACTAAAAAGTACTAAAAGTACTTTATTTTTTTTACTAGAAAAAAGTTTGTGGGCCAGTCAGGTACCTGTGGATTAAAGTGCCTGCTTAGGCAGTCACAGGAACCAGGGTTTGATCCCTGGCACGCTGTGTCCCCCCATGTGCCGAGACAATTGAGACTGGGTATGATGGTGCCTCCTGTAATCCCAGCACTTGGGAGGCTGAAAACAGGAGGATCACTCCGAATCCAATCTGTGTAGTGAGACCCTGTAGACCCTGTACTAAATATATATTGTTTAAAAGTTTGTGGCATAAGTTAAAGTGGTGTTTTTTAAATCTCATTATCTGAAGTCATTTTAAGCTTTCAGAGCCTCAATTTCTACAGCATCAAAAGGAGCCAATACTAATTGTAGGCAGTATACTGCAGAGGAGGATCTGAAATGCAAGGAAATATTTCTGAGAAGGAAGTAGACTCAAACACACTAAGTTAGCAATGATAAAACCTGAAGTATTAACACAAGACAAACAACTACGTTATCCAGATTTACCCAAATTTAATCATGGTAAGCTAAGAATAATTCTTGAAAACAAAAAATCCAGTTCACTAAAATGGCAACAATAATGGAATTATGTTTGACTTTAAAACTGACACTTGGGGATAAAGACATAGCTCAGTGGTAGAAGTCTTGCCTAGTACATGTGAGGCCCTGGGTTCAATTCGCGGCACCACAAAAACAAATTTAAAAACCTAACTCAGCCAGGCATGGTGGCACAGACATGCTATTTCAGCACTCGGGAGGCAGGGGCAAGAGAATCCCTGTGAGGCAAAGGCCGTCCTGGGTTGCATAGTGAGTTGGATGCTAGCCTGAACCAGACAGCAAGACCCTGTCTGTTGTGAGCAGTTATCTGAAAAAGACATACTGACTGTTTACTACAGCCAGATCTGTACTATTTTTGTATCCCTAGCCCATAGAGATACAAAAATGAAGGCAGTGGCCTTGTCCTGGATTTTAATAGAACGCTTTTAACAAGCCAAAGTCACACTTTCATAAGATCTACAGATGCTTCATTAAGTACCAGGAACTATTACAAATGCTTTCCACTCATTCAATGTTCACTTGCTTCATTTCAAACTTAAAATGTTGGTACTAATAATCACATAAATCTTCTAGAAGAGGCTCAGAGAGGCTAACATCTTGCCCAGAATCAAACAGCTATTAGATGAGATGATGGAACTGGGTTACAAATTTTCTTTTCTTTCTGGTACTGGGGATGGCACCCAGGGCCTTTTCACTGAGATACATCTCCAGTCCTTCTATAATCATTTTTATTTTCAAGACAGGATCCCACCAACTCATGAAATTCCCTAGGGAGAGCTAGAATTTACAATCCTGCTTTAGCATTCCATATTGCTGGGTTACAGGAAGGCCTGGCGCCAAGCTGGGATACAGTTTGACAAAGGATTTGAATTTACACATTCTGCACGTGAGGGATGTTGGTGTTCACCCATCCGCACACAGGGATAAAGCATCATTACTTCTTGCGGGCATGGTGGCACGTGCCTTCAATGCTGCGTTCTGGGGGGCTCCTGACAGATTGAAGCCTGTGTAATTTAGCGAGACTGTCTCAAAAAAAAAAAGAGTTGGGACATACAAAAGTTCAGCGTGGAAAGCGCTGGGTTCGACTCCCAGTACCGGAAAACAAATAAAACTTCCTTAGACTGGTGCCGATTAAACGAAACAGCGTACTAAGAGTCAGCACTGTGCTCGGGGCACGTTGGGCATTAGATTAATTTCACTTAATTCAAGTTTGGTCTCTATACCTACATAGGGAAAGGGCTTTGGCTACACGCTGTACAGAGACTTTTCTTTCTTTTTTTGCGGAACCGGGGATTGAACTCAGGCCCTTGCGCTTGCCAGGCAAGTGCGTGGTCAACTGAGCCATCTCCGCGGCTCCTGTACAGCGACTTTTCACACGGGCTGTGCCACTTGACAGTGCTGCTCTGTTTCGATACACAGTGCGGCCAGTCTTTGATTACACTTCAGTTTTATAAACGTCTCACCTATTTCCTCAATCAAGTTCTCCGCTATTTCCACCACAAACGGCACTCCCTCAGGAGCGCCGGGCGGCGTGCGGAGGTGCGCGCCTCGAGAAGCCACGACCGCTGCCTCGCGCAGCCAGGGCGCGAACGCTCAGCCCAGTTCTCGCGGGGAGAAACTCGGGCTTTAAACGAGAACTGCAGCCGTCACGTGACTGGCACGCGCGTGCTCGCCTCAAGGTCTTTCCTGGTCCCAGACTGGCTGTTAACTGGGCTACGGGGCGTCGCGAGGGCCATTACGGAAGTAGGCGCGTTGATTTTTCGCTTCCGGGCGGAAGCGTGTCTTCCGGTCCAGAGCGGAAGTTCGTCACGTCGCGGTTGCCTCCGCACAGCGGATGTGTGTCGCCGCTCGGGTGACGCTGTGAAGTGCTTGCAGCCTTTGCCGCTGCCTTCTGGTGGAAGCACTATGGAGGAAGAGAGAAAGAACAACAAACGGTGGTATTTTACCCGCGAACAGCTGGAAAATAGCCCATCCCGCCGCTTTGGCCTGGACGCAGACAAAGAACTTTCCTATCGCCAGCAGGCGGCGAATCTGCTCCAGGACATGGGACAACGTCTGAACGTGTATCCTTGCGGCCTAGGCCTCGGGCTGGGACTTGGCGTGCCCCGCGTCCGGGCCCAGGCTCCGCGGGCTCGGAAGGGCAGGACGGCGGCGGGAGCGGGCGGCGGGCGGCGCGAGGCTCGAGGCGGAGCCAGTTTCCCGCTCGCGCGCGCGCTCGGGCCGCCCGCCTTGCTGGGAATTGCTGCCCTTTTCCGGCTTTGCTGTAGCCGGGCCTTTGGGGTCCCTCCTGCTGCAGGGGCGTTGCGGCTTTTCTCTGTCCTGGCCAGGAGGCGAGCAGAGCGTTCTGTTGACGGTCCTCCGGACCGAAGTGTGCGAAAGGCTTCCGGAAATGCCGCGCCAGGAGCCCGTACCGGCGGCCGAGGCCTGGCGGCCCGGCCTGGCTCAGAATAGGTTCCTCCCGCTTGCTGGCTGTTTGAGAAAACGCGAATTATTGGCGGTCTTGTCTGTAAAATGGATACTGCTTGATTTGAGCCTAGGCCCACCACAGTGCTTGCCGCTCAGACTTCAGTAATAACCATTGTCCCAGTTGTGTCCAGTTTGAGAGGAATGGGAGATGTCAGGCTGGGTTTCTAGTATTGTAAACCCATGGATCTAATTCTTAAATGGTTTACAAAATATTGGATCCATAAGTCACACAAGCGTTTTTTCCTTTTTTTTTTTTTTTTTTTCGTAGTTCAAAGTTATCTAGCGACTTTTCTTCCCCAAATTACTGTTGTCCAAAAATGTTTTCATTCTGTGTTCTTTCAACTGTGTGAATAATTTTTTCCCTAGATGCAGCTTCGGGCTATTTAGCTTTTACTCAAATGCTTGTTAAGGGTGTGCTTGCTTCAAAATTGGTGCCATTTGCCATTTTGTTTCCTGTTGATACCCATTTGTTTCCTAAGCATCCAGTCTGTGCGAATTAAACCGTTTTTTAAAAATCTGCTTCAATGTATCCTTAATAAGCTTTTTTGTTAGTGTGTTACTAATGTTGCCGTTGTGGGACAGTGACATCCCTATCTTACGTATTGTCTGGTCAGGAGCTCCTTCTGAGTAAGGCATTTACAAGTTTTCTTGGGGCTGAGGAATAGGGGATCAGTGGATAACCCTATCTTTGAAATGGGGAGGGTTCTGGAGGTAAAGGCACAGGCAAGCACAAAGTCATGGGCTGCGGTGGGGGCAGTTTTTCTTTAGTGAATCTAGTATCAAATCATTTCAAAGTTGTTTTTGGTTCCACAGATCATGACCTTGGGATTGCCAGAAGTAAGTCAAAGTAAATGCTGGAATTTAGAAGATGGAGAGAGAGGAGAGAAATTAGGGAGAGTCTTCTAAATCACATTAAGATATGCAGAAGGCAAGGGACTGAAAGGTTTAAGATCTTATGTAGTTTATATCCCATCCTGATCATACATCTCAAGAATTTTTATTCAATATGTTGATATTAAATATTTGTTAAAAGTATTATGCTTCAATTGGCAGTTTAGTGAAAGAAAACAGTGATCTTTGACTTGAAGTGAGGACACTTAGGACCATCTACTGTGTTTGGCCATTTAGCCTGTTGGGGAGCAGCTGGAGATTATGTTTTGGGAGTTATACTGTCTGCCTGCCTGTTTTTGGACCTTAATTTGAACACTAGCTCACAATTGACTATCAACACTGCTATAGTATATATGCATCGATTTTACATGATTCAGTCTTTTACACAGTTTCATCGAACGGTAAGTATAATTTTTTCGTATGGTGTAACCATTTGGTGGTTTATTCCAAGTGCCAATTTGTGGTTGGTCTTTGCTACTGAAATGGAAATTGAATTTCAGAATTTAAGGTTGATCATCTTTATCACACTACTCTTTTGAGTCTAGCCTTGCAGTTTTCCTGTGAAGTGTGTCTAGTTTTCTGGTAGGGTTAGTATGTCTGTAGACTAGATCAGTTCACTGATTAAGTCAAGTGATAAATACTGAAATGATAGATGATATAAATTTAGATTTTCCAAAAGTCGGATAAAATTCCATTGAATGATTGGTTTGAAGAAGACGGTATGGTATAATGACTGAGGAAATGACTTTCAAGAGTGGGAAAGAGCTGGGTATAGTGGCACATATTTGTAACCCCAGTACTTGGGCGGTTGAAAGAGGAGGATCACCTGGAGTTTGAGGCCAGCCAGGACTATATAATGAAACTCTGACTCAACAAAAACGAAAAACAGAAAAAAGAAAATAGTAAAGTAACAAAAGAATTTTTTGCTTGGGCAATAATAAATACAGTGGTGCTATTTTCTGTTTTGCTCCCGAAATGGTCCATTAAACGTTACTGCAAATAATTTGGAAATGAATTCATGATGATGATTTTGGTGTAGGTATCACTATTTCATAAAATCTGAAGGTAAGGGGGATAAATTTGGAACACTTCCTGTGGATATGTGAATCAAATATTTTAGTTGTTTTTTCAAGAAACTTGTTTTAGATTTAGGGTAGTAGATTTTGAATTCCCTTTTTAATGCTGTAGGGAGAGAATCTGAAGCTGGATATAGTTCATATAATAGAAGAAATTGGCAGATTCAGGACTGTGAGTACTGAGTGCAGTGGCACACATATACTGTCCCTCTGGAGGGAGGCTGAGGCAGGAGGATTGCAAGTGTAAGACCCACCTGGGTGGCTTAACAAGACTGTGTCTCAGAATAGAAAATAGAAAAGTGCTGAAAAAGTGGCTCAGTGGTAGAGCTGTCTGCCACCACACTCAGCCTCCACATAGTATTTGTGTTACCATAATTTCTTTACCTAGTTGACTATTGCTTTATATTCAAGTTGTTTCCCAATTTCTGTAGGTGAAATTAACGATGTTTATGTAAAATTTTTGTTTCATGAATATACAGTATAGAACTACTCTACATTGTCTTCAGCATTATAGGAGACAGTTCTTTTGGGTATATCCTGACTAACCACAAATACTTTTTACTTCAGGAAATATTTATAGCCAGGAGTGGCTGGCTCATGCCTGTAATCCTAGTGCTCTGAGAAGCTGAGGTAGGAGAATAGGAAGGTTGAGCCATCCTGGGCAATTTAGTGAGTTTGTAAGCGATGGTTAGAGCTGTAGCTCAGCGTGAAGGCACTGGTGTGCTAGGCCTCCCTCCCCCAATTTGAACAGGTTCAAAGGATTCTTTGATAAGATAGAAGAGATCTAAAATTATCTTTTCAGTTAGTAGAGTTGAGGTTTTCAAAGTTTGACAGTACAGCACAGAAATAAATCTAAAGCATATACAGTAATTTTTTTGTGTTGTTATATATATGTAACCACCAGATAAGATTTCCAGTACCCTGGTAGGTAGAGTACCTGGCCTTTAATGGAAATAAATTTTACTTCATTAGTGAACGTGGAGACCCTGTAGACCGAACTCATAGTGATCCTCCTGTTTATAGCTTCTCAAGTGCTGGGATTACAGGCGCACCACCATATCCAAAGACTCATATTTTTCATTGGTGTGTTATAAAATTGCTTCTTGATAGAGTGGTTGTTAGGGTTTGAATGAATTAATTTAGCTGAGTGTGGTGGTGCATGCCTTTAATCCCAGCACTTGGGATGCTGACACAGGATTGTATGAGTCTGAGGCCAGCCTGGGCTACATAAGTTAGTTAAAGGCCAACCTGAACTGCATGGTGAGACCCAGTCTCAAAAAAGAAAACTAAAAAAAAAATCTAAAAAATTTAATAAAAAGTATCTCAGTGGCACAGTACCAGCCCAAAGCAGACAATAAATAATGAATATTAGCTTTTCTTCTTTTGATGGTGGTGGTGGTGCTTGGAATTGAACCCAGAGCCTTAACTCTGAGCTACACTCCCAGCTCAATTGCTCGCTCTGTCTGTCTAGGTTTTTTGAGACAGGGCCTTACCATGTAGTCTAGGCTGACCTTAAACTCACTATTAGCCCAGGTTGGCTTTGAACTTGTACCAATCTTCTTGACTCAGCCTCCCAAATGCTGGAATTATAGGCATGTGCCATCACACCTGTGTTTTATTTTTTATTTTGAGACAGGGTCCTGCTAATTTGCCCAGGCTGGTCTTGAACTTAGGATTCCCCTGCCTCGTTTTCCTAGAGGATGAGATCATAGCATGAACCACCATGCCTAATTTAAGTATTCCTCTTACAAGTTGGGCATGGTGGAGCACAGCCCAGCTGCTCAGACTGAGGTAAGAGGATGGTAGGTTCAAGGCCAGCCCGGGCAACCCTGTCTCAGTATATATGGAACTGGGAGCCAGATGTGGTGCTGCATGCCTGTAATTTTAGCATTCAGGAGACAGACTGGAGGACCATGAATTTACAGCCAGCCTGAGCACCTTAACAGGACGACATAGCAATACTACCTTGCAGAATGTGGGATGGGGTGGGGCTATAGCTGAGTCTTGACTGAGTTCACTCTCTGGTATTCAAAAAAAAGTAACTTCTGCTTTATTCTTACAGCAACTTACATTGTTGATCTTACTTATTTTTTAGGGCCAGGTTAGGACAAAGTATTTGAATATAGAAAATTTTATAAACAAAATTAGAGATATAAGGAAGTAGTGTGCATCTCAGAGAATCTGCCTTATGTTTGGTGAGAAAATGATAAGCTTGATAAGGAATTTGATGAACACATCCCACTAGATTTGTCTTTGTATTAAAAAACTATGCATATTTGGTTCTGTACTAATAGTTTTCCACTGTTGCCTGTTTATAATTGCCTGCTCTAAACTTTTATTTGCTAATGTTTGTTTATTTTTTATTTTTATTTATTTTTTGGCAGAACCGGGGATTGAACTCAGGCCCTTGCGCTTGCCAGGCAAGCGCTTATTCTACTGAGCTATCTCCTGGCTCGTTTAATTTTTTATATTTATTTATTTATTTATTTATTTGGTACAAGGTCTCGCTATGCAGTTCAGACTTGTAGTCATTTCCTGTCCCAGCCTCCCTAGCACTAGGATTACAGGGGTGCGCCACCACACCCAATTTCAGTAGCCATCATGGCAGCATGGCATGCAATCCTGGGAATTGAACCCAGGTCCTTATGCTTGCCAGGCAGGTGCTTAGTTAAATCTCTGAGCTATCTCCCCAGCCTCTGCTAATGTTTATTAAATTTCTTTTAAATCAACCTTTGTGGTGGTGCACTGTTGTGATCCCAGCTACATGCAATGCTGAGGCAGAGGGATCACAAATTCTAGGCTAGTGGGGGCTACGTAGTGAGTTCAAGACCAGCTTGGATTGTAGAGGGAGACCAAAAACCAAAATGAACTTTAAGTATGTTTTACATTTTCTTTCATCTATTACCCAATTATCTTTCCTGAATACTTACTTAAATTCTCTTTTTTTTCCCCTAAAATCTTGTGTCATTTTTGGTAAAATCCATTTGTGTTCCACATCAGATTATCTATTTCATTTAATTATTCACTGTATTCTGAATGGTCTCCCTGTGTAGATCCTCAGTTTTGTTTATGTCCATTTCCATTAGTTTTGCTGTGGTTATCCAAAGTTTGAAGAAAGTATTTGCAGAAAGTTATATATAACTGAAACAAATTTGAAGGAGAGGAATTGTTACTGTGAACTGTATGGAGAAAAATTTCTAGAAAAAGTATAGCCTGAGTAGCAGCAGACATACAAATAAGTATCAGTTTCCATTTTGGTCAGTAAAGTGAAATATTTAAATTCTATAAAATTAATGCATTTCATGTATTCCGGGTACATTTTAGCTCTTGCTGTTATGGTTGATTCATTTATACATGTATTTGTATATATGTAGGAACGTATTTGACAGGATATCACTGTGTAGTTAGACGGGCCTTGAATTTGCAGTGATCCTCCTGCATCAGCCTCCTGAGTGTGCATGCCTGACACACAGATGTGGAGGTATGGGCCCATACCTTCTAGATATAAACAGTAGTAGCCTAGATAGTTTTGTTTGTTTGTTTTTGGCTGACTCAGCCTGCCCTGAGGGCAGGGCTAGTGTGGTATGTGGTGTCTGAGATTGAACCAGGTCCCCTGTGCTTGCCTAAGCAGGTGCTTTAGACCACTGAGCTATCTCACAGGCCCATCCTAGATAGTTTTAAGGAGAGTGTTGTAGGTTGGTGTTTGCAAGTGGATTAACAGATAAGAAAGGAAAATACACTTCTAAGAGAGGTAAAAGCATAGACAAGAAGTGAGAAGATAAGGCAAAGAATTTGATTTGTTTGAAACTGATTTATCTTCTTTCTCTCCAGTCTGTAGCTCCAGCAGCCTTGTTTCTAGCTGCTAAAGTGGAAGAGCAGCCAAAAAAATTGGAGCATGTCATCAAAGTAGCACATACTTGTCTTCATCCTCAGGAGTCACTTCCTGACACCCGGAGTGAGGTGGGTGACTAGTTACAGATCTACTTTGCTTTTCTTGCCTCCCCTCCTCTCCTCTCCCTTTTTAAAAAATGTATTTGGTACAGGGTCTCACTATGCAGCTCTGGACTTGTAGTGATCCTTCTGTTTTCAGCCTCTCCAGTGCTGGGGTTACAGCTGTGCACCGCTACACCAGGTCTTGGTAACCCGTTCGGGGGCAGGGCTGGTGTGGCATGCAGGGCCAGGGATCGAACCCCTGTCCCTGTGCTTACCAAAGCAGGTGCTTAGTCCACTGGCACTATAATTAGGTATTTATGCATGTGTATCAAATTTATTTTGAGAACGATCTCAAGGTGCATCTATTTACCTAGGAATTTCTCAAGCTTATCCTTTTGTGGTGAGTAATATGCTGTTGTTTAAAAAAAAAAAAAAACATGTCATCTTTATCCATTCTCCAGTTGATGGGAATTTGGGCTGTTTCCAAGATTGGGCTGTTGTTATAAGCTGTGCCACTATAGACAGGTATGCGTATGTTGCTGTAATATCATGCTTTTGATTCTCCATGGAAGATATTCAGAAGGGGAATAGTTGGGTCAAATGGAACCCCTAGTCAGTCCTAAGCTGTTTTTTTTTCCTTTTTCAGACAGGGTTTCAATATGCAGTTCAGGCTGACTTTGAGCTCACAGTACTCTTCCTGTCCAGCCTTGCCCTAGTTTTTTTTGGCAGAACTGAGGATTGAACTCGGGCCCTTGCACTTGCCAGGGAAGCGCTTAATTCCACTCAGCCATCTCCCCGGCCCCAATGATTTTTTTGTACTAGGAGTGGAACTTGGGACTTTGTGCTTGCCAGGCAGGTGCTTGTGCCACTGAGGTATAGCCCCAGCTCTGTCCTAGTTTTTTGAGAAATCACTACACAGATTTTTGCAGTGGTTGTACCAGTCTGCATTCTCACCAATAGTGGAGAAGGGTTTCTTTTTCCCCAGTGTCCCACCAGCATTTGTTATGGTTGATTTCTTGATAAAAGATGTTTTTTCTGGGTGAGATGTTTTAATTTGTATCTGTTGAATGGCCAGTATTCTTCTTGGGTTGGGTCTTTGAAGTTTCTGGGGGGCTTTTTTGTTGTTGTTGTTCTTTATAAGTTCTCATAGTAATCCTTTGAGCAACAGCTTGCAGACATTTTTCCCCCACTGTGGTTGTCTCTTCACTCTGCTGGTGATTTCTCTTGCTGTGTGAAAGGTTTTCAGTAAGATGAGGTCCCAGTTGTTGGTTCCATATACTTCCTGTGCAGTTGGGATTTTGCTCATGAAGTCTACACCATTGTCTTCAAGAATTTTACCTCTTCTGTATTCCAGCAGACAAATCTGCTTTTTTTATTTGGTTGTAATTTAATTTGGGATTTTTATTTACTAACGTTTGAATAGGGGGTATTAAGAGAAACTTATTTTATTTTTATTTTTATTTTTTTAACATTTATTTAGTGTGTGTGTGTGTGTGTGTGTATGTGGCCAGCTCAGCCCACCAGGGGGCGCGGCTGGCTGGCATGTGGTGCTGGGGGATCGAACCGCGGTCCCTGTGCTTTGCCAAGCTTGTTCCAAGTAGGTGCTTTAGACCACTGAGCCATCTCTCCAGCCCCGAAACTTGTTATTTTAACAAAAAAATTAAGTTTTATGGTGAAAATTTGTTGAGTTAAATTGAAAGATGCAGAAAACCAAATAACAATCTGCTGGAACATGAAATATTTTTAAGACGTAAGTGTAAGTAAAACCTTTCTGTAGGTAGAAACTTCCTTGATTATGTAAGAAATAGTACCAAAAGTCAAAAAATAAAATCACATCAAACTAAAAAGCTTCACAGCAAGGAAACCACTAACAGAGAGGCAACAACTTGTAGAGTGGGACGTTTCAGAAGAACTAATATCTGGAATATATAAAGAGCTCAAAAAGATTAGACCGCTCCCCAGATGTAGGACCTGATGAGAAAGAAAACGAAATACAGAAACAGCCAACGAATCCGTGAAACTGCTCCACATCACTGGCTCTTTGAGAAATGCAAGTTAAAACAACACTTGAGATTCCATCTCATTCCAGAAGGAATGGCTACCATCAGGAAGTCAGCCAGTAAACATGCTGGAGAGGCTTCTGGGCAAAAGGAACCCTTCTTCATGGTTGGTGGGAGTGTAAACTGGTTCAGCCACTATATATCACTATTGAGATTCCTCAGAAAACTAAAAATACAAATTCCACTTGACTTGGCTATTCTTCTTCTAGTTATCTTCCCAAAAGAGCTAAAGATATCGTACCAGAATGGTTCATGTATACCCATATTTATAGCAGCACAAGACATAATAGTTAGGGGCCGGGGAGATGGCTCAGTAGAATAAGCGCTTCCCTGGCAAGCAGAAGGGCCTGAGTTCAATCCCCGGTTCTAAAAAAAACAACCAAACAAAAAAACCGACATAATAGTTAAATCTTGGAGGCAGGCTATGTCCATCAGCAGATGAGTGGATAAAGAAAATATATTTATACATGATAGATGACTTCTCTGCTATAAAGATGAACTTGAATCATTTGTAGGAAATGGATATACTTTGAGACCATAATGTTAAGGAAATTAGAAGCTTAAAATATCAGGGCTGGCCATATAGCTTGGTGGACTAAAGTGCCTGCAAGCAGGCCCAGGGACGGGGTTAGATCCCCAAGCCTGCTGAGCAGGCCCTGCCCTTGGGGCACACTGAGATTGTGATTGAGACTGGGCTTGGTGGTGCTCGCCTGTAATCTCAGCACTTGGGAGGCTGAAAACGATTGTAGAATTCTCTTGTAGGAGAATCGCTACAATTAAGGTGTGTTGTGTAATGTGCCAATTCTCCACAGTGACTATAATACTCTATACTGCGGGGTCTCACTATAATTCAGGCTGTGTAGGAACTGATTATGTGGCCTAGACTGATCTGGAGCTTAGCGGTCTCCTGTCTCAGGCCCTAAGGGCTGAGTTTATACAGGCGTGACGCCGCTCACGCAGATTGATTTAGGGCTGGTATCAGAGGTGGAGTCCATGGCCTTGCACATGATGACCAGGTGCACTGTCATGGAGCTATGTCCTCAGCCCTTTTCATTTTGAGACAGGAATATGGTTAGGCTGCGTGGGCTCGTCTTGAACTGTAGTCTCCTGGCTTAGCGAGTAGGTGGGAATTCCTAGCATGTGTTCTGTGCCTGTCTTAGTTAAATTTGAGACTAATAAATGCCACTGGACCATAGAATTGAGTTAGCAAGATAAAGTAATCCCACCTTGTTTTTCTTTCTCAAGAGCATATGTATGTAATTTGTTATCTGAGTCTCAGGGTTGCTAAAAACAAAAAAAACTCATCTTTTTAGCCAGTAATTATAGCACTTTGTAAGCTGAGACGGGAAGATTGTGATTTTGAGGCCAGTTGGGGGTACATAGTGAGGTCAGGGCCGGCCTGGAATACAAAGAAAGAAAACCTTTCATTTTTAAATTTTTACTTAAATTATGTCTATAGAATCTCACTACACAGATTGGACTTGTAGTGATCCTCCTGTTTTCAGCCTCCCAGAAGCTGGGATTACAGACGTGCTACCGTGCCCAATCTCAGTCATTGGCTGTTTGCCCCAAGGGCAGGACTGGAACAGCACACCATCCCCAGTCCCTGGGTCTGCCTAAGCAGGCGGTTTAATCCACTGAGCTATCTGGCCAGCCAGAATCTTCAGTTTTTAGATTTAGTGTTTTAATTTTCTTCTTCTCTTCTTCCTCTTCCTTTTTTTTCAAAGACAGGGTCTCACCGTGTAGTCCAGGCTGCCTCAAATTCACTGTGTAGCCTAGGCTAGCCTCGAACTCATGGTGATCCTGCCCTGGCTTCCCAAGTACTAGGATTATAGTTGTGTGCAACCATGGCTGGCTATTCCTCATTATTTTAAAAGGAAATTAATCTTAATAATGTATTTTATGTAACTTGGCATATCTAAAATATTGTCACTTTAGCATATATCAATATTTAAGTTATTAATGAGGTGTTTTACATTTTTTAACTTAGTCTTTAGTATTCAGTGCTCAAGAAAATCTCAGTGCTTATATTACAGGTTAGATGAGGTTATGTTTCAAGTTAAATTTCTTGTATCTAAATCACTGGAATTCTAAAACTTAAAATATCAGTAAAAAAAATCAGATAAAGAAAAATGAAAATCATCCAAGTATCTGGTACTCTTTTGGTAACTATATATGAATAAAGTGTTTTTTCTGTGTTACTTTTTTTTTAATTAAAGGAAAAGTCTATTCACTGGGACTGCAGATAGTTTTTGTACCGTATTCCCCCAAAACAAGATCAGGTCTTAATTTTTGCTTCAGACCAGATGTGGTGGTACATACCTGTAGCCTAGCATTTGGGAGGCCGAGGTAGAAAGCTCACCAAGTTCAAGGCCAGCCTGTACTACAAAGCATCAGACCTGTTCCCCGCCCCCCACCAAAAAAAAAAAGTTCAAAAAGACTCAGTAGGGCTTATTATCAGGGGATGTCCGATGCCTTATTTTTTTCATAAACATCACTCCACATTTATTTACATACAAAAATCTATGTGTCAAACACAATCCTGTTTGCTTCCTTGGGAATGTCGTCATAACTCCAGACCCTGCATTCTGGCCAAATTTCTTGTGACTCTGTTTCCTGTAGAGCCCCTGGCCCCAGTCTCTTGTGTCCAGAAGTAGAGGTGCTTTTAAATGAGCCTGCTCATCATTCACTGTTACAGCTTTGAAATATAAAAACTCACATTAAACACAACCATATCTATTCATTGTCAAGTGCAGGTGACATTTGTGTGTTAAATATTAATGTCAATAATATGTATGTAAAAATATATATATATGTATATTATTTTATAATTCAACATGTCAGTTGTATGTTGCAGCAGATGTACTAAATGCATCTGACTGATGCTTTTAACTGGGGCTTATTTTTGGGATAGGGCTTATTAGCATCCTGAAAAATCATGTTAGGGCTTATTTTCTGGCTCAGTGTTTTTGGGGGAATGTGGTATTATACTTTTTTAGTGAATGTTTTCTCTTGTCTGTAGGCTTACTTGCAACAAGTTCAAGATCTGGTGATTTTAGAAAGCATAATTTTGCAGACTTTAGGTAAGTTTATTTGCTTAAAGCTATATATGATTTAATGGTTTGATAATAAAATTCACAAAACAAGAAATAGTAAGGGAATCCTCTGGGAACTTTTTTTTGATGGTACCAGGGATCGAACTCAGGACCTTATGCTTGCCAGGCAAGCACTCATTCCACTGAGCTATGTCCCTGGCCCCCTTTGGGAACATTTTTGCATCATTCCATCTTGTACTGGATTAGTGTGTGTGTAGAAATCAGAGTTTAACTTTGACCTGTACCACAGGGAGGGTGTGGGCAGTAGTCCATGGAAATAGCAGCTAGCAAGGCTTTTGGTTTTTGATTTTCCATACTAGAACTCGTGATTTACCTTTTGAGAGGTTTGACACTTTTTAACCTGATAAATAAGATAAAATTGGGGGCTGGGGAGATGACGCAGTATAATAAGCAAGGGCTGAGTTCAATTTCTGGTTCTGCCAAAAAAAAAAGACAAAATTATCTTTAAAAAAATTTCTCGCCGTGGATTGCTCTGGTCCTTCAGGCACTGCGTTAGACAGCTAGCATGGGAGAGTAGAGGTGGGGGACTTAAGTTAGGGTGGTTGTACGGGCAGTTCTGGTAATCCTTAAGTATTGAAATAGAATTTTGTTTTTCCTACCCTTACTTTCTTGCATCAAGTCTTGCTGTGTAGTTCAGACTGGCTGTGACCTCTGTGTAGCCCCTGTAGGCCTCAAGTTTGCAGTGGTCCTCCTCCCTCAACCTCCTGAGTGCTGGGATTCCAGGTGTGTAACACGACACCTGGCTGAAGGTTTAAGTTTTAGTGGTCATTTGAATAACTTATTTCTTCCAATTTTATATATTTT